CGCCACCGCCGCCGCCGCCGACACTACCACCGCCACCACCACCACCATCACCACCACCAGTGGCAAGAGCAGCAGGCACCAGCACCGCCACCTCCGCGGAGGTCGCACGGCTGCTGGCCCTCGGCGCGTTAGTAGTGCCCGGGACATACAGTCGATCGCGCACACGAAGGGTGCGGGTCGTCCTGGGGGTTGGTTGTCGTTACAGATTTTGGTCGGTCGGCTGGTTTCGTCGGTTCGGTCTGTCTCGCGCTTGCATGCAGATCGCTCGCGGCGGATCGCGTAGCGATTCAACAGCTGGCGAGAGGGTGCTCAGGCGGATAGTATGTCGGCCTGAGGCGGCAAACATCTAGCGCCTGCTTCTATCGCGACTCTTGACGACGCTTCGGGCGATCTGGACCGCTGGGCGCTCGGATCCGGTAATCGGCATTGTTCTCAAGAGCGTGACTCTGTCAACTTCGGACTCCTAAACGTGATGCGAGCCACGTCGAATGGATCGAAGCGCTACGTGTTGGTGCGTGTGGTGCCGGAGCGATAAAATTGAAATTATCTGGACCGATACGGAAGTTATCTGACCGAGAGTACCCGAGAGTGAATACCCCTGTTATGCACTATGTGATACGAGGAGACGACACTTATAGATAAGGAGTTGGATGTTTTTCGGTGCGTTCCTCACATTTTTTTTCAGGATTATCCTGTATATGTCGGTGCGATGTTTCTGCTCAATAATTAACAATCCGCATTAACAATTCATAATCCGAACGAATTGGTTCAGTAAAAACGTATTCTGTACGAATAACTGTATTGAGTTGCTTTTATAAACTTTATTTTTCTGGTTATTCAACGAATCGGAAACATATGGCGTCGAAACATCGTTGATGATAGCTTCGAGATTTGGAGAAATCCGCGTATCGTTTTCGATCAATATGAGTTTGTCGCGTACACATATATTGCAGGAAATAGCAAAATTATACTAATAATGATAACTGAGCTATAGACTTTCATCGATTATTATCGTGAAGAAAATATATCATAATTTTTAGTGTTTTCAAATTATATATATATATATATATATATATAGAGACTACTTTTTTGAAGATTGAATATTCAAAATTACTAAATATATGTTAAGTGAAATATTAATATTTGCAGAAAATGTAAATAATTAATATTTAAATAGTTTACATTTACTAAATACGGTCTTATTATCTTTTATTTAACTAAATATTTTTTTCACACAGATAATCATTACAATCTTTGAAACTTAAGCGTTTTGTTTTGTTATAAAATGCACATAAAAATATATATCAGCTATAATTGAAAATAAAATTAAAATACAAATAAATACTGAGCAGAATTTTTTATCACGCGTAATAATTAATGTGTAAAATATTATTAAAATTGTTAGATTATTCGAATTTCTACTTCTAATTTATTAGATTGAATGTTTTATTATGCGCAAAATTCAAAATAATTTAACGATAAATATAACGACAATTGCATTTTTTTTAAATGCACTTTAAAAATACAGTATCTCTTTATCTTGGACGTCAATATTGCCAGTATTGTCAGTATTTAAGTTATGGAATTCTTATCTTTTTATTTTCATAACATATATTTAAATTTTCGACCATATTTTGCATTAATTAAAATTATTATAGAGTATGATCGAATTAAAACGAATTGAGAGAGGAAATTAATGTGAGGCTAAGCCTCAATTTCGAAGATTGGGAGTCCGTAATTTTGTAAAATGGATCACCATCAATTCCCTTTGACTCATCCATTTCTTGCAGGATGCGCTCTCGTTGATCCGTGCAAAAATGTCACGCCGGCACTCGCGCAATTTCCGCGATAATATATCGGCGTTTTTCACCAAGGATCCGTTCTTCCTTTTCACGTTGCCGTTGCTGCTTCGATAATTCTCTCTATGGATTCTTCTCCGTGGATCCGGAAACTTCGAACTTATCGCCCGTCGGTGAATTATTAATCGTCCGGTTATCCCCTTCTCCTGTTCCCCGCGCAATTAGCGCGAACTCCGGAATTTAATTTCGCTCGCCAGACCAGATTGTCGCGCTTATGATTCGGCATTGGCATGCCCGCTTTTGCTTGCTCGCCCGAATGGCGCGGAGAATCGGAGCGTAATCCGACGATAGTTTGCTCCTCTTTTCGAACTTTGCGAGGCTGCATCGGCATCGCGCGGCGTTCCGTCGACGAGCGACCCCCGGGGAGTCCCGATCTGCAAAGTACTTAGAAGACAAGTCGGACTAACTTGGGAATCGGGAATACTCGCCCCTCTGTACTCGTGCTGTCTGCCGACACGTTCCGTTCGAGGGCTTCGAGCGACGAAGGCGCGAGAAAAAAAGAATTTCGTATTCGCCGTGTAAATTAACCCGCGAGTTATCGCGTCAAGGGGGGCATTGAATTAATCAACCTTTGTTTAACATTCAAATTGTAGATATGCTATATAATTAGCATTTGAACTTTTAAATAGCCATTTACGTGGCGCGCCATTTACATTTAAGCGAACTTCGCTTTCATAATTCTGAAGTTTCTTTCGCAGATAGGCAATGAATAGCGCTGATAAATCACATGGAAGATATAGCTGCAGTTGGATTTATATTACGTCTCTTTGAGACGGGACGGGGATTTTCTGTATTTCTTTGAAGTAATGAAAAATTTAAATGGATGTCCGGGCGAGGGATAGCAAAGTTAATTATAGGATGTTCAATTTCAATTTTCGTACGTGTATACGTTTACCTGTCCGTTTCTGTTTTTCGCAATTACGGTAAACACTTATTCGTCATTGTCACAAGAAAGTAGACGGTATACATACACTTCTCACCTCGACACGTTCACCGAAAGCGTCAGAAAGTAAAAGTAGGCGTCGAGCGCAAGAAAATGCCTGCGTTTATATGGCTTGTCTTAACAATTGCGCGCTCGGTGAAGTACGAGACCTGCTTATGCACCGTTTTCGCCACGGGTGGGCCTTCGCGGAAGAATAGCCCAGCGTTGTTTCGCCGAGCAAGTTCGGGAAAAAAAAGTCATTATAAAGGGAGAACGGTAACTTCGTGATAATTTAAACGCAGACTGCTTTCTCCCCCCGGGAGGGAGAGGGACTCGAGGAGGGGAGGGAGGGTTGAAACGTTGCTGTAAAGCCGTAACGCCGAATGCATCAAGGGCCCAGAGAGAGAGAGTGTAGTTTACCTCAAGTTGGAAATTGGAAATTCTCGCATAGCCACAGTTGAATGCTATCGGATTTCGCGTTATTCGAGCAGCTTGAGCAACTCATTCGAATCAAACTACAACGTCATTGCAATTAATTAGATTTTGTCGGGCGACCGGCCGTGCGATTCGATTTTTCACCCGCGGTTCCGGCGTAATGTATATTAATTACTGATTCGGCGTACGTAAATTTCAAGTCCGGCGTCGCTGAATTTCCGAAAATTCGATCCAAAGGGGGGGGTCGATGCATACATCTGCATATTAATACGCAATCGGAACGGTCAAATTTGCGCTATTACCACAATGGGGTCAGTTTTCACCGCAATAATATATGGAAATATATATTATCATGGATTGGAGCGTGCAAAATATCTACTTCATTTCTCGTCATTTTACAACCGATAGAAAAAAAGAGAACGGCCCCTGAAATTAAGTGCCATTAATAACTAAACAAAAATCAATAAACTCGTATATGTTCCATTTATTGGATGCAGATTTGTTTACTGTGGAGAATACAGAATTCAGTCAGCGACAAGCAGAAATATATTTTCAGAGTAGAGAAACCGTTGAAGTAATCATAAATAGTTACAGCAAATATAGATAAAAAAAATATATGCCTGAAGTTCACTGAACTGCTGCAGAATTAGGATAGGGGTGGGAAAGAAACTCGTCGTACACACGCTACTTCACGCACGATCGTCCCTCCCCTCGAAAGTATATCGAGCATACATTTTTCCGGTTCACTGGGCAGACGGTAGCAATTTTCGCGCCATTTGTTCTCGGGCACGAGCAACATCTGTCTGCTCGAGGTTACGTAGAATTTTGAATTGTACACGCAGGGGCGGCAGGTTTTTCTCAAGTTTATAAATTTATTATACTCGCGCGACCGTCATCGAGTTAGTTGGACCTGACGTAAAAATTAATTTCCAGAAAAACCGTTTTAACGGGGCGCCCCTTTACGCGCGCGCTTGTTGCAGCGTGTTGCGGCGCGCGGCGAGGCGAGAGCAGGTGGTTCCCGGCGCGACCAAGAAAGACTGGCGGCGAGGGCTCGAGAATCGAGGAATCGTCGTCGAATGATTCTCCTCTCCCGAGACGAGCTGTCGCGACACGTGCAACGTCGAGAACGTTGAGGAGGATTCCGCGCGAGTCGGCGACTCCGAGGGCGGTGTATCGAACCATCGTACTCTGGGCGCCGATGATTCCATCAGGATCATTCACTGCCGGCGACTCGAGCTCGTCGATCGTCACCGGAGCGTCGTGTACACGCGCGTGCCGCGCGGCAACGACGATCAGTCGCCAGACTGGCAGCTCAGCGTCTACTACGCGGGCAACGTATGCACCTGAGGATGGAAGTGAGAGTTTGCTCGGAGCCGATCAGCAGCAGAAGCGCGATAGTAGTACCGAGTCGCTATTCTGAATTCGAGACGGCGGACGGGGAGCGAGAGGCGCTTGGAGGGTGCGGGACTGGAGGTGGCGGCAAGCCGTACAGCCGGAAGCTGTGGGAGTGGGTGGACGGCGGCGACGGGATAAGGGTGGTGGCGGTAGTGGTGCGGAAAGGGGCACAGAAGGGCGAGCGCAAAAAATTGCCGGCTGCGGCGGCGGCGGCGAGGACGGAGGGGCGAAGGACAGGCAAGAAGGCGACGGCGACGAACGGCGGGAAAGGAAAGCGGAAATCGGAAGCGAGAGAGGAAAGGGGTCGTCCATCGGCAGGAGGGCCCCACAGATGCGGGGCCCGCAGGGGCCAGTCCGCGGCGGCGTGACGCGATGCGGACGTCCTCCTCCTCTTTGCCGAGGAAGAGGAAGAGGAAAGACCTCTCGCCTCCCGACACCGTCCCTCTCACCGGCGACTGGCGACCGTCAGTTAAGCATGTCCTCCGACAGCAGTGTCCCCCGCGGTTCGATATTGTCGTATCGCATCGAACGCGGCGCGATGTTCTTCATCGGGGACGACGAGATGTTTCCCCATGTTCGGCGTGTCGTGAGGTCCCTGCAGGGAAGCTGGGGGATTGCCAAACAGGCGAAATTTCCGGCGAGCGATGTCGCGAGCGGAGAGAGCGGAAGCGAGACAAATGTGACGAGGGAAGCGACGGCGAAGGAAGTGAACGAGAGTGGCGACGACGAGGTGCGAAGGATATCGCGAGTAAGGGGACTCCTCGAAGAGCCCCGTTCGACGGCGGTATCGCCAAGAGCGTCTTCCTGCTGGCGCTTCTCTGCGCCCAGTGTTGCCTGGCGGGCACCGAGGCGCTGGCCGGCACTCAGAAATACTGCACCAGAACGATCAAGACGCGATACGGCATCCTGCGCGGTATCGAGGCCAGATCGTCGACGGCCGTCGAGACCTATTACGGCGTGCCGTACGCGACGCCGCCGCTCGGCGCGTTGCGTTACATGCCGCCGGTCACCCCGACACCCTGGCGCGGCATCAAGTTCGCCGACACCATGCCGCCGGCCTGCCCGCAGCGGCCGCCGGTGCCGGACGAGAGCTTGCCGCGACAGAGGCAGGCCTACCTCAAGAGGCTGGTGCCCGTACTGGCCAACCAGAGCGAAGACTGCCTGTATCTGAACCTTTATGTGCCCAAAGCTCCTCACGGTAAGTCGAGGCGACGTTATCCTAAAGTATGGTCCTACTAAAGGAAAAATATTGCTTGGTAGAATAAAGAATATGTTTTAAAGTTTGTTGTTAATGGATTTTAGGAAGGACTCTGTTTTTTTGTCCTAAATATATTATTGTCGTAAATATTTTATATATTATACATATATATATACCTATATATAAAAAATATATATATAATATATAAAAAAATTTACATTTACAGAATATACATATATATATATATATATATATATATATATATTTCAGGTTATTTTATATACTGTATATATAAAACTTTTTTTATGTGTATATATAGGAGGAATAATAGATTAAAATAATATTTTATTCTTGCTCTTGATTTCTTGAGCTTTTTAGAAAATAAAATTTCTTTGCCATTCTTTAAAAAATATAATTATTAACAATCTCACAATTAAAAACGCGATAAATTAAGGATTTAAAAAAACAAACGTTACGAAAGTATTTCAGTACTAGTGTAGTTTCTTTTTTACTAATATTTTTTACTAATAATTGACAAAACAATGTTGAAAAAACTTGTAATAATATTTCAGGGATCAGATGTTTCGTAAGACTTATTTTTTGCGTGTTTGGAACAAAAGGACTGTTTTATATCCTAAACAAAATTCTCGTGAAAAATACGTGAAAAATACGTAAACCTCTTGCGACGCACTGTTTGGAAAATCCTTGCTCCATGCACCATACGGTCCATTGTCGAATACAAAATTCGTCGCGGAAACATAAGCCGAACTTTTCGGAATGTATCTTTCGATGTAAAGTTTTGTGATATTTTCGCGAGCCTCTGTTTCGAAACATTGCGTCGTTCAATTTTAGGGAGATTGCCCAACTTTGGCGAAAGCGCGTCGCCAACCAGCAAGGGGGAGCGCAAGCGAGAGAGAGAGAGAGAGAGAGAGAGAGAGAGGGAGAGAGAGAGAGACGCAATTTCATTCCGCGATAATCTGATTATCGAAGCGTTCGGGAATGGAGCGTCGGCGCGTTACGACACGTGACGATGACATCGTGCGCGTATAATTCCGCGCGACAAGTAGATACACATGCACGTGCTGGCTCGCGAACTTTTTTTATTTTCTCTCTTCATCGGACGCGCGAGCACGAGTGTGTTAGAGATTCGCAGAGTTTTGCAAATGATGTTCCGCTTCCGCTGAAATTACGATCGGCCGTTCCGGACGAGCGTTTTATTTATAGCGCGATCCCCTCTGCATCTCCCGCTGAATACGAGACCGCGCGTGTATTGTACGCAGCGACGGTAATTCGGCAGTAAGTCCGAACAACGAGACGTAGCGAGCTCTCGTTGTTATAAAAGTAGAGAGAATTGTCCATCTAGAAATCTTATCTTTTCCGCGTATAATCGCGTCGCAAGGAATCTATATAAGTACTATCGCCCGCATTTGGTATTTGGGTGAACTTTTCAGCGCCAAGAGACGTGTTGACCTTAATTGCTTGCTTAAGCTTCTTGCTGATGAAAAATACAGAGAACGAGTAAGTGAGTGAGTGAGGGTGTGTGTGTGTGTGTGTGTGTGTGTGTGTGTGTGTGTGTGTGTGTGTGTATGTGTGAGACCTTAAGACCTTACCTGACGATATAATAAGATTGTCTCATGAATGATCCATGCGCGATATTACGCGGTATCGCGACCATTGATTATCAAAGCGTATATATCTTTCGTCTCGCTCTCTCATCTCGTCCCTTCGGACATCCATCTAGCACGGCTGAAATACTGAAGCGCGTAGAGAGCGCAGAGAGATTATAGCGACTGTGAGGGCAATTCGTTTCGCCGACGATGATTTCCGGCGGGTTGTTAGAGCTAATTTCAATGCGGTCGTACACGTACTTGGCCGAGGGGACGAGGGGATGGGGAGGAGGAAGAGAAAAAAGAAGACATCCCGCGCAACGCGCGAGAGCTCCCACGATGCGGCGACTCCAGTGGTCGCGATTTCGCGCTGTCGCGACGCTGGGGTTTCCTTTGCAAGAAAACTCCACCCCTCCGTCGCGCTCCCACCTTTTCACCCCTTTCCCCACCACCATCGCTTTCTCTCCTAAAGCGCGGGGGATAGAGCGGGAACGGGTGTCTGTAACAAAAGAGCGGATCGATCGGTACGCGGAGACGCTTTTCTGATTGCGAATACAGCAGCCGGGGGAGAGGGGAGGGGGAAGGGAGAGGGAGACTTTCAGATGAAGTGTAAACGCGAACCAATATATGGATCATAGATATGGAGATCAACAGCGGGACTGCATCCCGCGAATAAATTTTCAGATAGGGGATTCGGCCGGATTTGTTGAATTCTGTAATATTCCCGGTTGTGTGTATAGAGATCTGACCTAGTTCGGTTTTTGAACAGTTTGGCTTTGCTGCGCGCTTCAAGATAAATATGTCTATTCCAATTTTCGCTAAGAGAGCACGGAGGATATCGCGTGTACCAAAGAAAAATTTCTTTCTCTTAGGGAGAGAGATTTGTACAGTTTGTACACGCTTGTACATTAATGAGAGGGACATAAATCGGCACGAAAAAAACAAATTCTCCCGCTCCCGTGGTAACGCGGATGTGCGGGATTAATTAAAAGCGAAGTCGCGCGGCACGAAGGCACACCGTGATTTCCGCGAACTGCGAAGGCGCGATCGGGCGGAGAGATAGCGCACGCGTGAGAGGCATCGTTGGGGATTCCGCGATACGCGCGCGACGGCGCGAGATCCACTCGCGATTTTTCCGCTTTTCTCTTTTTGTTCTATGGGATCTCTCGCGCAGAGAGAGGCCGCTATTATGCTGTCGAATAAAAAGCCGTAACTACCCGACGTTTCAGCCGGATTAAAGAGAACGAGCCGTCGTTGCTTCCTTCGCTATCGCGTTGAATCCTCTTGCTACTTTTTTACAGAAGCGAACGCTTTTTCTCATGCTTGTCTCTCTCACCGACGACGCACGGAGGAGGGGTGGGAGGGGAGGAAGGGAGGGGGAGAGAGGAATGCCGCTGCTGCTGCGGCAGAAGCAGCAGCAGCACTACCACTACCACTATCGTTACTACCCGCGCGTAAGCAGCTTAGTTTTCGATCTTTCATCTCTGGATATCGTCGCGGAAAATTCAGACGAGAGTTTGAACTCCTTCAGTGGGCGCGCACGCGAGTGGAACGCGTTATTGAAACGCGACTGTAATATCTTTGCGGAATATAAATGCGAGAGGAACGTTTCTTAATCTCCCCTCCCCCCCCCCGCTCGCACAATGGTTGATGCTTAAGATTAGGAAATTTATCCAACGTTTACTTTAATCTATAATGTTACCTTTAGCCTCGTCCGAACTTATCGTAGTAGAAATGAACGAAGAGACCGATGTGATTCTCTCTGCGATTTGATGACACTCACGTTTGCATTAAAAGTTCCGATACGTCATTAAAAGGGTAATCCACAAACAACTGCGGGAATAGAAGTGCTGTATGAAATACGGGATCATACGAAGTTACGAGTAATACGTAGATTGCGGAAGGAGGAATGCGTAATTCGTCGTATATCACGCGGAATTCGTGCTTATTTTAGCGGTATTGCGTTTATCCGACAGATTGAGAGCTCTTTCGTCTTGGATCATCGTCGCGAAATTACTTTTATGGTTATATCCTACATCTGTTATTACGCAACGGCGACGACGGCTCGTAACTCTGGACGATAGCTTCATCCCGAATGCTTACGATATCATTCATGGATGTGCGGCGAACTGAAAAATAGCCATAATATCTGCGATTAATTTCAACGAGTTTGTTATAAGTTTAATATACATTTAACATGAAGACTGTATTTGATATAATTGTGGTATATATAAAAAAATAGGATATTATTCACGGATATATCGCGAATTGAAAATAATCATTAATCTGCGATTAATTTAAAGGCGATTTTACAATTTTAAGTTTTATATATCGAGTACGAGAATTCTATTTAATATAGTTATAAAAAGTTATTTTCCAATGAATAGGTATGTCGCGAACAGAAAAGTACCACAATCTGCAATTAATTTAAAACGCGTGATTATAACTTTTACTTATTTAATGTCAGAATTTCATTTAAATAATATCGTTACAATGAAAAAAAATGGAATTGCTGCATGCGTACACTAAATATGTTGCGAAAATAAAAATTTTTTATAAATGTAAATACAGATTTTTTTTAAATAGTTAGTATGTTTTGTTATATTTGTCCGAATTGTAATAATATAAGAACAAGCACACAGCGAATGCATTTCTCTTCATTATTTAACGTAATTTTAACATATAATCCAATTTTTCTTTTTGCATATAATTTTAGTAGAAGTAATCTTGCGGAAAAAAAATGCGATATTTTCGATGTTATACTGTTAAATTTTCGCTACGTTTTGTATATTCCGATCTTTCATTTATGTCAGCCGCTCGCTGAGCGAACGTTATTCTTTGTGACGCGATCACTCGCGGAAAAATTTGATATAGGTAGATTTAATACAATACTCCACAGCAATATACTTCGGCACACAGAGAAACGCTACGAGTGTCGGTGAATGCGGATCATGTGAAAATAATATTCGGGACACACGCGGGGGCGTCGCTCGCGAATTCATCCGGCTGTCGGTTTCCCCGATCGAGCAGCGAGCATCTCTCCGGCTTTGTGCGTATTCGCGTGCCTCGCGTGAGGAATCCGTCGCTGTGAGGAAGAATGAAAGAATAAAGCGCACTTTTATCTGGGAAATGATGAGAAACCAGGGTGCCTCGGCGGCACAATGGCGAGGCCGATGCTGCATACGAGAAGAAATGAAGCGGGCCGAAGATATTGGAAGGACAAGATAAAGCGAAAGGAGCTCTTTCGAAGTAGATCGAGAAACAGAGAGAACGAAGAGGAGGCAGAGAGAGAAAGAAGGAGAGAGGGATACTGTAAAGGAATGCAAGTGTAAGGATGCGTTGCGTCCTCAATTCCGTAGTGCATTGCAGTCGATTATTTGATTCACGTGAGAGAACCTGCAAGCACCGCGGGAGTGAGGTGGCTTCGTATCGTATCGACGTTCTTCTTGTCTAGTCGCTGCGACATTAATCTAGAGACAGAGAGAGAGAGAGAGAGAGAGAGGACACGATAATGAAGAGGACTCCGGGAAAGTGCCGACATATATGCTCGTTCGGATCGATTCTTTAATCTGTTCGCACTTAAGACTGCGGTCAAAGATCGATCGTTATCTATAATGGATGTACAATGAACAGAATCTGAAGGAGCTGCGATGAAAACTTTAATTAACTGTCCGACTTTACGAGGGTTTTTAATTGTGCGCATTTAAACTGTCTAGAGCGAGAAAGAAAACTGTAGGAAAGTAAAATTTAAGTGTTTATTTAAGTAAATTCGATTCCGCGAATATTTTTATAGTCCGATCTTCCATAAAATTGCAGTTAAGAAAATGGCAGGTACTCAATTAAAAAAAAAACTATGGAAGGAATATATTTTCTATACGTATCATCTGCGTGTATAGTACAGTATAATTGAAGAAGATTAAAGCATGGGTGTGTGTGTGTGTATTTTTTTTCATAATTTATCTTTTTTGAGATAATAAAAAGAAATCGACCCTTAAAAGATTTCACTTTTCCTATCTCGATGAACGATTTCCTTTTATTATCTCAAAAATAAATTTTGACTTGTGTCACTTTTCTACGCGGCAATATTTTTTTATCGTACAAGAACGTTGGAATGTCTCAAAATTGCTGTTAGATCACGGTAACGACTGCGCGTTAATTCTCTCTCGTTAATTGTAAGACTTCGAGATAACGACCTTTTCGCATTAGGAGCAAACTTTAGTGCCTGATATATGCCAGGTCGTTCAAAAAGCTTCCTCATTTCCGAATCTCTGCTAACTTGCTTATGAATTTATTGGTCCCCCGTATCTACTCCATACCCTTCCTCCCTTTCCCGACAGGTTACATAATCGCGTTACACGCTGAGTTGGAACGTGTGGTATAAAGGCTCGGGTGTTACATATTTCGTATTACGTGCGGAGCCTGAATTTCACCCATCGCTCGTGATAGAAGATTATAGTTCCGCTACAATCGCGTTCTGGAACATAACAGATGAGAAGCGTATACTTTTTATTAAAAGTTCCAATATACAAGTATGAGCGTGTAAAATAATTTAGTGAACGTGTGTTGACGAAAGTTTAGCGAAATATTTAGCTGTAAGGGACAGTCTTTTTAGAACAAATGGAAAATTATTCTTATTCGACTTGAAATACAACATTGGAATTTAGATGTTATTTCTAAAGAAACTTAGAGAGCGACAACAGAAAATCCCAAAATAGCTTTACAGTACGAATGACTAAACTAGCGATCTTTACTTTTGCGTTCGTAAAAAAAGAATCTATAATTTATGAACTTCTGAGCAGCGCGACAAAGATGAGTCGATACCGAGGAAGCAATAAAAGCACCGAGTCGCTCGTAAACGTTTTGAGATACGATCGCAAACAGCTAGGCGGTCCCGCGGTAGGAGCGGGTTTTCGCAGCTCTCCCAATGGAAAAATACGCACGGCGGAATCAGGGAAGGTGGTGGTGTCTCGTTCGCCTATTCGCTCACTTACTTAACTGTCTGTCGTCTAGCGTGCGCTATCAGGATCGCAACAGGTGTCTCGCCTTGCCATCACTTAGCTCGGCATGATAGTTCGTTCCCCGGGATGATTATATTTCGATCGCCGTTGCGCATTACGGGGAATTTGACGTCGCGATTGATAGAGACAGCTGCATTACCCTCCGTTAAGATGGAGTAAAATGCAGATTTTATGGAAAGACTCCCTTCCAAGATTTACGTATAAATCGAGATCTTTCACTCAGGCAGCTAAAACGCCACGTAATTTATAATATTCGAATCGCTCAGAAACGTATCTGCCAAACTGACGCTTTTTTATATATGAAATATCGAAAATCGTGCGAGTTAAATATTTAACCGCTCATTCGTTGAAAATATACGTTATAAGGTGTACGTCGTTATATAATTATTACGAATGCGAACGTAAATATTCCGTTTGTTTCAACAATCAATAATAGACAAATATGTTCTCAGATAATTAATATTAATATTATTCTCGTAAATCCTATCTGTTATTTAGTGCTAAATGCAATTATGGATTTTTTTCGTGAAAAAAATACGATCTTTAGTCGAAGATTTAAAATTCAGCATATGAAATGTTATCGTAAATTTGTAACGTATTTTATAATTCACAGGCTATTAAGTCATATAAGATTAATCTCGACCACACGAGATTTCATAGAGATCTGAAACCGCTTTTCAGCCAGTTACTTCGACGTTTTTATCTGGCCACACTTAATTTTTAGAAGACGTTTAATCGTGTGTATTCATGCCGCACATTATATTACAGGATTAGTTTTGTATGCACTGCACGTTCACTCATATATTCTTCGACAAGAGAAAGTATTAAGATCGGATGAGGATTGCAATTTTCTCGAGAGAATTGTAATCCGAGTCAAATGAAATGTTTGCCGGTGAGAATAATTAAGGGGATTATATAAACGTCGTTCAATCAACGTCTTTGCTCGATATGATTACTGTGTAATTTAGACGATGCGATAATGCGTTTTGACGATGCACGATCTGTTCTTATATCTACATACACGTTCTTGTATTTCTCCATTGCATTTATTCGCGCGTGCATGTACTTCGTGTTTGCAGAGAGATACCGTGGTAGAATGTTCTCTGATGTTGCAGGTAGTATCGCGGACTCGCTACCGGCTCTCCTCCTTATTCACGGCGATTCATATTCGTGGGGCGCTGGAAATTCATTTGACGGAACCGCCCTGGCCGCTCACGGACGCCTTATTGTCGTCTCCATCAATTTTCGTCTTGGCGTGCTTGGTAAGCATCCCCGGCAGTACTTACTCGCTGAAATAGACCGTCCCGTTTCATTCCGCCGTCGTATCGGAACGCAGGACACGCCTTGCGACCGTTTGCGCCTGTTTTATTCGTCGCAAACTGCGTTCGCGTATATACGTCGTAATCGTTTGCGAAAAGACGAGGCAGGGTATTTTTTTTTTTTAAAGAAATCGTTGCTCGTCGTTGCTGTGTCCTAAAAATAAAAAAAAATAACAATAAGTTTTCTTTTATTCGCCATTCGTAATAATTTATTCCTGCGTCAGCGGTAATAATAGAAAAAAATAATTTCCAACTGACGTGTTTCGTTACAAAGAATCGCACAATCGACGCGTTCCGCTTTAAAGAATCGTACAATTGAAACAATTATTTTCTCGAGTGAAACGAGCGTTTGTCGATAACTGACAATTTGACACATCAATCAATATTCAATAATTACCCACGTTATGCTAAGAAATTATTGTTTCGAGCACAACGACAAGGACGAATACGATAATTCGCATTACTTTCGTGCGCGAAAGCTGATAGAAAGTTTCCGCGTTATAAAGTGCGCCGAGTTTACCATGCTTTTGTTTATTACAACAGCGCGACTAGCTCTCCTTTTGTTCTTTCGACAGAGTTAAAGGAATGATCTCATTATTCGTGGCAGCAAGGAGGAAAAGTTTGTCGAGATCTTACCAGATTACTTTCCGCGCAGTTATATATGGAAATTCCCCTCTCCGTGGATTGTTTCTTTTGCGATAGTCGCGGCTCTTTAAAAACACGGCGTCAACTCGAATAGAAGTTACAGGACGAAGATCCGAGATGCAGGATGCGTTTTCAAGCGCGTGCGCGCGCGCGAGAGAGAGAGATAGAGGGGGAGGAGGGTGAAAGGGCGGGGGCGCATATGCGTGTACCAAAATTAAAAACGCGGGAACAAAGGGGGACGAGACAAAGGGAGTTTAATGAGGACGAAGAAGGGGACACACGTAAGGCTAAGGGTGTATTCACGCGAGTGGATTTTCGCGCTCGTTTGTCGTACGACCGGCTTTTGAGCGTCTGCTAAATATTGTGCGCATAAATTCAAACTGGAGCACGCGGCAAGAATGGCTGCGTGAATTGTAATCGATATTTCGCGTGGCGAGCGCCCACGAAGTTGGAACGGAATCCCGTCTCTCGACTGTGAATTTATGCTGTGTTCCCGGTTAAAGCTCATTTTTTTTATTCAGTTAATTCGTAAAATAGATTTTATCCTGGCGCATCCGAGTGCTCTCTTCCCTTCCCGATTGCCCGGCAAAGGCGAGGTTGTTTAATTTTGCGTTAATTAAAAATGCATTATATGCCTCCGTTTAAAAAACGCGGGAGTTGCTGCACCGGTTTTTCGTATACCGCGCGCTTTATCGCAAGCGCAACACCACGCACAACGGTGTAATCTGCATTTATTTTTCCGCGCTATTTGCAGATCTGCGATATTTAAAGGTTTTTGAGCGCGCCTAATCGCGGATAAAGCGATAAACAGGGTATTATTCGGAAGGTATGCAAGCGCGTGTTTACAACACCCGTAGCCTCCATTCATGAAAGAAGCCTGGGGGGCAGTCAGTGGAACAATTTTCGATATCGATACGCCGTATTTTCACTATATACCGGGGCCCAGTTTCGCGCTTCTCTTTGTCGATACGCTGCAGTTCCGTATGCGTTTTGTTCATCGTTGAAGCGAAACAATGCCTGCGGCGTTATCCAATACCGCATGGCCGGCCGATTCGATTTTCTTCCATCTTTTTTCTTGTTACCCCACTTATTATCCGTGCTTTTTCGCTGTTTCACAATCACTTACGGATTTTCACGCCACTTACGACACAAATAAATTTCCGATCGAAATCATCACGTTTGAATAATATTTAAATGTACTTTTCATCGCGCGGCGAGTAACGTTTCGTTGATTGCTTCGCACACTCTCCGTAGAACAAACCGAAAAAGCTCGAACGGACGAGGGCAAAAAAACGAGCAGACGTACAATAATTATCGAAAAATATTTGCCTTCGTATTTTACGCGAAAAGAAAATCTTTTTTTTTGCTACGCGAGCGGAGCAGCAAAAACATTTATTCTATATTACTCGTACGAGTCATTACTCTCTCGACGATATTTTTCTTTGCTAAATACCGAGCGTAATTATAACTCCGGCACCAATGCGGCGATAGATATGTGAATGCGATTAAAAGGCGAATCGGATTGAAATGGAAAACTCGCCTCGCAGGCAGCGAATGGCGGCGGCAAAGTGACAAGCCCCGTAGCGTGAGTCCGTGGCGAATTGAAGCGGGCGGGATTGAGTACCGGCGAGCAAATGTTTAATTTTAATCCGGTTTATTCTCTGAGTTCTCAGTCGCTCAGCCGGGTTACAATAGCTGCGGTCTACGTCTGTGTACGCACGCGCGCGCGCGCGTGTGCGTGTGTGTGAGTATCCCGACTTTCGTCGCCGCAACGATAACCAACTTAGTAATAATTAATTAACTCAGACGATCCTTTCTGTTAAAGCGGATACTAAAAGTGAGGCGTACCCGAGTTTAGCGAAAGTTTGCGATTAACATAACAGAGTTTTGATCGTCGAGGTTCGCGTGTGTAAGAAGGGATGCCGAGGCGCGCGCGCGCGTGGCGGGAAGAAGCGGAGAAGGAAGCCTCCTCTCGAGAGCACAGGAGGGAAGATTCGTGCTCGCGGAAATGTCTGAATGGATCTTCCAAACAAGTTCTCTCTTTCTCGGCGCAACAACTTCCGCTTCTCGAAATAACACGAGTACGTGATGCGTTACATATGCCTCGCGCGACTTCGCTCGTCTATCTTCGCGCGGATGCAGCTCCTCGTGGAATTAGCGATGTCGAATATTCAAACGTCCCCTTCGACCCTTTACGGTTGTCGATCGATGTTCAGCCGAACGTAAATGAGGCTGGCCTTCTAATACTCGGATCTCGTTTGAAACGGTGCAGGCTTCCTGAAAACCGGCTCGAAAGGGAGCGCGCAGGGCAATTACGGATTGATGGATCTGGTGGCGGGGCTCCACTGGCTGCGCGAGAATCTCGGGGCCTTCGGCGGCGATCCTGAGCGACTGGCGTTGCTGGGCCACGGCACCGGGGCGGCGCTCGCCAATTTTTTAGCCGTCTCCCCTATGGCGAAAGGTAAGGCGTTTAATCGTTTCGCGGCTTTGCGTGCGGTCGATCGGTTGCGCGCGTGGTTGTCAGTCGGACCGGGTTGGTTAACGTGCCGTCGGTCGCATTTACCGCTGACGCGGTAACGTCCGTTTTGCATAGAGACCGATGGGAAAAGCGAGCTGCGAGCGTACGTCACGAATTTGTTTATGTTTCCTCTTTTTTTCTGACAACGTCCGGGACGTTTTGTTTATCTATCGGTTCAGAGAGACGCGGTTTTTTTTGTAGTTTGTATCTATTTTTTTTATTTTATATCAGTTGTTGAAAAAAAAAATTGATAACGTGCTTCCGTTATTCGCATGATAGATAAAATTATATTTAATTAAGCTGCAGCTCTCTTGTAAATTATAGTCCCGCTCGCGAAGGAAGAAAATTGATTTAATCACATTTAACGCTGATTGATGTCGATATAACCGTCTACAGAGAGACATGCTAATTGAAGCTGATTTATCGACAGTCTCAGTACAATCGTGTCTATATGCTCGTTCTCCAAGAAAGGCGGGCTTAAATAAAAATTTAATTGGGAGAAACTTTTATCCACCGCGAAATATTAAGAGGTTGATTTTCTGTTTGCCAAAATATCGGATTTTCGAATGGTAAAATCCCGAACCGTATATTATAGCGTGCAGTAATTAAAGATTTATCGGACATTCCTCGAATTTTATTAGCTGTGTTGCAATTAACGGGAGTTTTTCCAACGGCAATATTCCAGAGCTGATCGGGAGGGTGATTCTGCTCGGCGGTTCGGCCCTCTCGCCATGGGCGGTGCAGCGGGATCCGCTGGCGGTGAAGCGCCGCGTCGCCGAGAAAATCAAATGTCCCGGTGACGCCGAGGCCGACGATATCGCACCGTGCCTTCGTTTAAAGAACGTGGAGGAGCTACTGGCGGTGCAGCTGGATCCGCCGAGATTCACTTCCGGATTTGCGCCCTTCGTCGACGGGGCCGTTCTGCCGCCGACAGTCAATCAGGTGAGACGATTCGCCCCGATAATCGATAGTCTCGAGACTGGCGAACAGTTACGCGCCGTTTCCACTTGCTTTACGATCCGCTCCGCCCGATTACTCCGATTTTACTGCGCCGTTAACCGTAATACGTCGTTAATTAATCTTAATTGCGGTTTAATCGATTCTGTTTGTCCGTTCCGCAGCTTAGAATTTACAGACAGGGGGAGAAACGGAGATTAGTTTGAACCGACGATAAAGTTGAGCTTGGCAAAAATTGCTATACACATAAATACAGGATGTTCGAAAATTCAACCGACAAACTTTCAGAGTATTGTCGGGGGCACCAAAAGGATCATTTTTTTGCAAATGGACCTACGGTCGGAAGCGTGTCGTTACACCGCTAGGGTGTAAAAAGATAAAATAGAGATCTTTTTACACCCTACAACTTTTGTCTGAATTTTGTATAAAACTTATATTTTTTGAGATATTTCGAAGTCCGACCTTTTTCGAACACTGTCTGCCGTAGCGGTGTAACGACATGCAGATCATTTCTGATCTGATCCTAGGTCCATTTGCAAAAAAATGATCCTTTTGGTGACAATCCCCCCCCCCCCTCGACAATCTCTGAAAGTTTGTCGGTCGAATTTTCAAACACTCTGCATATTAAAATTATCTTGGTATTTTTGGCGGCTTTCATAAATGACAGGCTAATGTGTTATCTGTCGTTTTCCCGGGACGTCCCGCGCAGCCTTTCGGCTCGGCGTCGCTTTTGACGTTAAGCCATTTTTCATAAAATTTGCATTTACACCCTCCACCTTTCTCGCAGGGCGTATAACACATACCCTCTACGCGTGCTGTCCCACGTCCGCCGTTTAAGCGCAGATTACGCATGGAATATCCACCGCGATGTAAATAAATATAACGGCGGGTGTTAAATAAACATGGGCCGCGCGCGCGCGCGCGCGCGCGACACACGCGTTTCATCCGTGCGATTACGGAATTCACGAATGTTGTAATTGCATACAGGATATTAGCCCAATGTTGGCGGGGCCGGCCCGGCGTATTGATTTTGCGCAAGGGCGTACGAGACGACAGGTAAACGATGAATCTGCTAATTGAAAGGTCGGCCGGCTGACGGATGACGGATCTGAGAGAGAGCGAGAGAGAGAAAGAGAGAAAACCGTAATAGCTACTTCGTGCATGCTCCATTAACTCATTCGTTGATAGTGTCTCTGGACGCTCGCGCTCGGCGCGATATCATGACGTTAAACGCGAAATCGAGAGAGATGAACAAACGTACTCGTACCATACACGTATATCAAACGTACCATTGCAATCACGATTTACTATAAAGCAGTCGAGGCTACTCCTTGTGTCATCTCCGCTACAAAACAGCGGCGGCTAAGTCAATTTATGCGATATTAAACACCGACATTACAAGCTGTACCGTTTACGTGATGGAGAGATGTGTTTGAATGACAGAGATTTATTTGACAATATATGCGAAAGCGAGAGCTGCGAATAGAGAATTAAAGAGAGAGTTCGAGAAGTAGCGTGAATCTTATTGATACATGGAAAGAACAATTTTGCTGAAGCCAAATCTGAAAATAATTTTTGTTCAATAATCACAATAATTTTGCGCGAAAGTCAAAGCGATTGCTAGAATATCAAAACGTTTTACAGCAATGCTTATCAGTTTTAACATTCCAACAAATTATTTTGGTGATTCAACAAAAAATTATTTTCAGATCTGTTTTTAGCAAAATCGTTCTTTCTGTGTACGCGCGCAAAATCAATTAATCCCTAAACATGAAAAGGAAGATCGTTTTGTTCAGAATTTCCAGCCCACTGCCTCTTCTTCGGGACTAATGCCGATCGTGCCCGGGCCCGGCGCTGAATTCGCGGACTTCGGCAACCGTGATTTACTCTTTGGTTTGACGTCCGAGGAAGCTTGGGTGAATCTCACCGAGGAAGATTTACAGGTAAGTGTGATTCGTAGTCCATGACGATCACTCGGGGGGGAAAAAACACGCGTAAAAAAAAAATATAAAACACGTTAATTGCACGGTATTCCTTTTGTTTCGGATCTCTCGGTTCTTTTGTAAAGAATGGTTTCCAGATTACAGTTCCGTGTTTCCGCAACGTCTTTGTCTAGAAGAGTAAAAAGCCTCGAACTTTTTATTCTGTTTTCCTCCCGCCGCTATTATTGGTCGTACTTTTATTTTTATATCGATTTTATCGAGAGATTTATATTAGAGCGGAACTAATTCTCTCCCTGATTAATGACCGGACACTTCATGCATAATATGTAATTGACATCGATTGGATATAGTTTGACAAATTGACGAGCTTTACATGATTGCATCAGCAAGCCTGCGCTCGCCAATTGTTCCGGATATTATTGACTCTCCGATGGTCACGGCCAGTGGGCATCGCGCTATAATAGCATACGTCTGCTTTTATGATCGCGATCGAATTAATAATCCACACGCAGAGAGATCTGTCTCTGTCTCGGTGAAAACCGTCTCACTTCATTATTTACACACGTAAGATCTCCCGGCCGCGATTACCCCCTCCCCCCCCCCCCTCCGTGAATGATCGACGAGGAATCGAAAGAGTTGCGGTAATCTCGAGGGATCATTTTGCAAATTGCGACAAACTCGGTGAAACGCGCGGAGGAGCGCAACATTTACGAGCGATACGTTGCCCTTGCGCGTTGGTGGAGAAAAGACGGGCGAGAAAAGACTCTTACCGGTTCGCAGAACGGCTTGAACGAGACGAGGAGGGACCGTATATTGCGCACTTATGTCCGGAACACCTACCGGTACCATTTGCATGAAATCTATTCGACTCTGCGGAACGAGTACACCGACTGGGAGCGGGGCGAGCAGAGTCCGGTGGCGATCTGCGAGGGTCTCTTATCTCTCCTCGGAGACGGCCAAGTCGCCGCGCCGCTCCTCCGTCTGGCCCTGCTGCACTCGGCCTCGGAGGGACGCGGCTACTTCCTGCACTTCCAGCCGGGCGAGCTGCCGAGCCAGCGGGGCGAGGAGGTGCCGTATCTCCTGGGTATACCTCTTCTCCGCGGCGAAGTCACGTCCGCGGTGCCGCCCTACGGCAACTACACCCCCGCCGACGAGAATCTGTCGAAACTGCTCGTACACTACCTGGCTAACTTCGTGAGACGCGGGTAAGTCTTCTTCCTCTCCTTCGTTCACCGGCGATGAAATTAATGGACCACGTCCGTTAAAGACGAGGCGGTTTAGAACGAAAGTAGAAAAAAAAAGAGATGTTACCTCTGCAATAGATAGGAGTATACGTACGCTGCAGATCCTTCGTGTTTTCTCTCCGATCTTAATTGACAAACTTAATTGACGAGGAGTGTTTTACGAGAGTTACCGCGAAAAGTTAACGTACTTGTTTAATTAACGCCCTCCTCCGACGAAATATGCGACCGGCATTAATCGACGACACACTACGTGACGTGAAATAACCGGCGCATGGGCACGAAAGGGTTAATCGGATAAGTGAACCTCTCTCGTTAATTCACCCGGTTCAAAGTTCTTCGGAACTTAAGCATCGCATACACTTCGATTACTCTACGTGAGGGGGAGTCTACAGGCTGGTAGTGGTAGTAAGGGTAAAGTTACAGCTGCGAGAGGATTTTGGAAGCCAAACTCCCCCGCAAAGGCCGTTAACGCGCTCAGCGAAAGCTCGCAATCTCGAAGTAGAGTAGACTTGTTAGTGGCGAAGACGCGAAGTGATTTTGGCATCTCTAATTGCGGATCGGCGGCTATCTGGATGATTACTCTGTCATCGACACGGCGGATTTTCGCAACGAAATTTTGCCTGTGGTGAATTATCGCACAGAGACGAGGTATATTCGGGGTCTCAAATTTAGCTTCCAGTTTCCAAAGGCATTTCAAATTTATTTGCTGCAAGCAGTAAAATTATAATAATATTTAATTATTTTAAATAAATAATGATATTGCTGGAATTAATTATGTAAAAAAATTAATTATAAGTATCTAATTTCGTGCGACACTCTTTGAAATTAAATATTTAGAAATCCAACAGAATAGGGAACGCCAAGAGTGAAGCGCGAAAGAGAACGTCCAGCCTCGCGGCAGAGATTCCAACCCATTTGTCAAAGAGTCGCGGTTCGCTCGTTGTTCTAGGGATCCGAATGGCGCGAGTCCTTTGTCCTCGGGGGGACTGGAGAACGGCCTGGCGGCGAGTCCGCCGTTCTGGGACTCGTACGATTCCATAAATCAGCTGTACTTGGAGGCCGCTCACAGCCCGGAGATGCGCTCGCACTACAGGGGCCACAAGATGTCCCTCTGGCTGAATCTACTGCCGCAGCTGCACCGGCCGGGCTACGAGATCAACATGCGGCACCATCATCTCGCGGAGAATCCCGGCCTCTACGAGGGCCCGGTGCGTCCGCAGAGCACGGCCGTACCTCTGCCGGCGCCTCCGTTACCCATGCCATCCCCCACGGAACCCTCCTCGATAATGACCGCGCTGTCGACCACGGAATGCACGCCGAACGCGACCGTCGCGACGACCATCACGCCCACCACCTCGCGAACGTTGCAGATCTCGAATCTGGGCCCGGGCCCGAACAACCTCCTGCGCAAACTTGCTTCCAGCCACTATCAGAGCTACACCACGGCTCTCACAGTCACCATCGCGGTGGGTGTGTTTCTGCTGCTGCTCAACATCCTGATCTTCGCGGGGATCTACCACCAGCGCGATCGGAACACCACCGGCGGCGGTCTGTCGGGCGCTTTCAGCAACAAGAAGAAGGAGGAATTCCTGGAGGCTGGCTGCTCCGGCATGGACGCCTCGGGTACGGGCAAGCAGCGACTGACGTCCTCCATGGGCCTGATGGACTCGTCGTCGATGCTGCCGCCGCACAAGGCGAAGCTCGTGCAGGAGCTCGAGCTGCAGCTGCAGGAGTTCCAGTGCTCGCCGCCGCCCGGCGGCGGCAAGCGGATCCTGGAGCCGCCGTCCTACAGCAAGAACCCGTGCATCCAGCGGACCCGCACGCCGTCGCCCTGCGTGGACGCTACCATCGCCCAGATGGACGACGTCAGCAACATCGGCGGCCTTCACCACGACAGCGAGGACGACAACGACGAGCTGCCGGAACCGCCGCCTCCGCCCAAGGCCCCGGCGCCGAACGTCGGTCTCACGTGTCCCGGGATTCTGCGGCAGCCGGGGACGCCCGGTAGCGCGAAGAAGCGCGTGCAGATTCAAGAGATCTCCGTGTGATAGGACGCTGGATTCCCGGACCTACTCGAGATCTTTGATGTTTTGAAGGAGATGCGGTTCGCCGTGTGACACGGGCGCGCGCGAGACGAGAGGACGGCGCCGATCGAGATCAAGTACGTAGGCAAGGGGCACCTTTGAACTCTTACCATTATCGGGAATACACTTCCCGAGGGGGTGCGAGAGGGCACGCTCTTCTTAGTCACTGTCGAAGCGAATATTTCGTTCCTCATAATCTCACGAGATTATTATTTCCCTGTATTCCGTTTGACGATAAATAGCAGCACGTTCTCGCGTGTTCATTGCGTTCGGTTAACTTGTGCGCGAGACGAGAGCGCGGATTACCCTCGCGTTAACGTTTGGCGGCCGTGTTAATGAATTCTCTTCTCGAGACCCCGTTCTTGCTCTTAGAACTTACTTGCAAACTGCTAAACACTGCGGAAACACGTTCAAGCTTACCTTGTTGTTGGAGTGATTCTCGTCAGGATGCCGACGTCAGGATTAACGTGCGTAACGTTTCGCGATTTGAGGAAAGTGAAAGACAATTTTTACTCGCTCCGCAACGGAGTTGTACAGTGCCCAGTGTGTGTATGTGTGTGTATGTGTGTATGTGTGTGCGCGCGCGTGCGTGTGCCCACGTACTGGTCAGCGTTGAAAAATGTGCTTCGTTTCGAGGGGCTTCTTACCGCGGCCTTTCGTGATCCACGTCACGTGTAACGCAATTTGGTGAACGCGCAAACGGGCACGTAAACACGCACACACGGGAGAGAACACGCAGGAGGAGGTTCGTAGCGGTCCCTTTGTACCCGAGACGTGAATCTTCAGTCCGTCCATTAGGGACGGCAAAACGTCTGTTGCGCTTGAAATTCACGGATCGGCCGACCCTTTAGTTCACTGACTCTTCAGCCGGGTCCGGTCCGGCGTTCGTTGCGACGCAGATGTCGCATTAAACGGGGGATTGACGTAATCTCAGGAATAAAAATGATGAACGCAAAGGACATCACGCGGCAGGCATACACAGGTGTCCGTCATGGTGCTTCGGGCCCACAGCTCAGGCCCGGAATCCTTGCCACAACACTAAATGGAATTAATTGAGGAATTGGTAGTCTTGGGCTTCGACTTCTATAGGTTCATAAGACGACGAGAGAGCGACTAGAGAGCTACTGTTACGTATGTTCGTGCGTGAGAGACCGTGCGTGAGATACGGACGCGAGGGACGAAATGGTGAAAAGGAAAGGATAGAAAAAAAGAGAGAGAGGATGTGGATAAAGACTTGGGAGAGGGTAAACCCTGTGAGACGCTAGCTTTCGTTAGCGTAATTGGGCGTGTGTGTGCGATCGTGTGCAAGGAATTAGAACACGTTTGACACGAGATAGGGCTAAACGGTTTAAACAGCTACGGGGAGTACTTAAGGAGATACAGGTGACTCTCTCCTGGTGCTTTAAAAATTTTGTCGTTGTACAATGTGAAATTGCGGGAGGAATTCGATACGCGAAGTTTTGGCGTTCCATTGGAGGCGACTGCATTATACACTCGAGACATCTTTACGATGTATACATTTGTCGGAAAGTATTGTGATACGAGTTTTCTCTGACTTTAATAGTCACCCCGAAGGCAGAGGGCGACGGCGGAAGGGAGATAAAGTTGCGTTGTTTTCGAAAGTTATAAATTTGCTACAACTTTTTGATGACCGCTATAAAAGAAAAGTGTTTAGGTAAGAGTTCCTACTTTCGGCCGATTGGAAATTGGTCCGCGCATAAACGCTATGAATTATTGGTAGTATGTATCAACTTGATTTCGCCTAAAGCTAATCTGTTCCGTTTATTCTATATCTAAGTTTTTATTCACTTTTATCTCTTCTTGATCGTGCCTTTTTTTAAATAAATTTAAAATTATGTTTATATTCCCTTTGACAGTAGTCAAGTAATGACGGAATTTAATACAAGTTAAAATTTGACGTTGAGAGTCACCTGTATATTGTAAATTTTCATGCAATATTGGAAGTATGGTAGTTTGGAAGGCGAAAAGTATTCGGGTCCATTTTAATTTTTATGTTTTTCTTCGGGGTGCTTAGACGTGTCGATCGGCTACTATAATACGCGATTAATTTTCGAATCTGATCTGTTCAACACTACTGATAGGAGCTATTTATTACGTCAATGATTGAAATTGTTTATTATATAAAAATGATCTAAGATAACAAAATGTATATCTAGCTTGTCTTGCGAAAGACAAGATTAGCTTGAAGGGGCGTTTAGGATCAAAATTTACCAAGTCCCAAGTCTATGAGATGTAACTTTAAGGATGGCATTAGATATTGTTGCAAAATTTCCCCAAGAAGAAATTTTTGACGTCGTGAGTCGGACATTTTGTATGTAAAATAAGATATATATGAGCCCCCTTCGGAGGCTAGGCAAGTTTTGATCTTGGTTCGTCTCGTCACACACACAACGGAACGCACAACGCTCTTCGACGAAATGTAAATTGGAGAGGTGGCAAGAATTGAATCTTGACTTGATTTAAGCCCCCTCCAGGAAACAAGTCCGTCGCGCAAGAGCATCGGAGTAGAGAAAGAGAGAGAGAGACGGACGGGCGCCGTAAGCACCCCTACGACCGTAAAGACTTTTCGAAAAAAAAAAATGAGAGAAACCGCGCGAGGGGCCACCGTTAGTAACCTAACTCCTAATTAATATCTAGTCACGGGGGAAACTTGCCATAATTGATTCGATTGCACTCGCGTGTGTTATCGTCTACCGGCAGGATGTTGATGATGTTAACGTGTATCGTCAAAGAAGCGGGGTGGGGTGGGAAGAGTATACAAAATCGGGAAGCTGTTCGATCGATCCGCCGGGATAATAAACAGTCGTTGGTCGAATTTGGATACGATCGTTAAGTTAGCTTCATTTGCATCGTAATTAACGCGGTGGGGGAAACTCATTGTTACTCGCGCGGCTAAGATTGAGCCCCGTGAGAGCTCTTTACTGTCACCGTTCCTTTCGTTTGCAGATTCTTCAGTCAATTAGAAATCGACTTTCTTTTTCTCGACAGAAACGTCGAGATTCAACTTTTTATAACTATGTGATTTGAAAGTCACCATCTATATGTTTCTTTTTTATTTTATTTATTTACCCCTCTGCACCATTGTGGGCTTCCATATTCAATAAAAATACGTTACGGGTATGTACGTAAGTTTTGTACACTATCAGCCATCGTGACTTTAGAGTTACAAATCATGCTCTTATAATGGAATATTTATTTCAAATTCAATAATTAATTTATAACCTGCGATCAATAATTTCCATTCATCAATTATGCAATTTTTTTTCGTAAGCAAAAATGTCATAGAGCATTAGATCATTCTTTAGTTGGATCGAAAATGAATGATTTTTGGTGAACCGAGGCACTAATTTGCAAAATTGTTATTAATGCAGAAAAGTTCATTTTTCGATGCATTTAGAAAATTGTAAAAGAATCCGAAGACATGCAATTAAGATTTTTTTCGCTAGAAAGAATTGATTGCGAATTAAATCGGAGGATCCGCAGGCGAAAGAGATGGCGGTACTTGTATGACAGTGGGTACGCATACAGAATTAACGAAAAGAAAGACGCTATGGACATAATATAGATGGCCGAGGGCAAATTGACATGCTGCCACAATCTATCTTGTGTCTATAGAAAGCGCACAGACACAAAAGACACACCCATACGTATATACAACTATCAATGTTTGGAATGTTGGGATTTGTTTAAATAAATACTTAAAGATTCAAAGCGTAACTCTCTGCTGGCGTTCTGATTTTGCGTGTGCCCTGTGTCTTCCCTGTCGCCTCCCTTAGTCTTACAAGCCAGACGAAATTATAATCTTTATTAATTATATCGCAACAACACGTCGCATTGGTCGATTCGAAGTTCCGTTCTTCATCCAGGATGGTCCAGCCCGATCGGAAGATAGCAACGCCCTTGCAACATCCTCTTTAGAAATTTTCGATGAATTTTTCTCATTTGTCAAACCCTATCATTCGACAGAGACTGTGAAATACTGCAAGCATATAATACGCGCGCGCGCGCGCGCGCTCATCTCGACTCAGTTCTTGAGGAGGGTGCCAGTAGACTAGACCAACCTTCAGGGAGGAAGAGAAAGAGGGACGAGGGGGGAGGGAGGGGTAAAGGAAGAGGAAGAGGATGGGAGACATGAAGAAGCGGACGTGAAACAAAGTGGGAAGATCGAGGATTAGAGTGCACAAATGCCTACCGCTCCTTTCTCTCACGGCTGGGCGCACTCGTATTGACGTCTCGCGGTTTTCTTCCTCGTGCGCGCGGGAGGAGGGTGGCCGAGGAGCTCGAGATTTAATAGGGTGCTTTCCCGCCTCTCGTGAAGAGCCCCTCTCTCTCTCGCGCGCGCAACGAGATCCGCCGCCGGCTGAAGTATAATTAGTCATGCTACACAATACCAGTGGCATAGACCGAGTACATAACTATACATACATATATATTTATGTACGTACATACATATACATATATTTGTCGCCGCTGTATGCGTGTGTGTGTATGCGCGAGCGCAACCGGTGCCGCAACACGCCGGGGATGCGCGCGCGGGGATGTTTGATAATTGCTGATACGACCAAAAAGTCGACCGCTACTCCCGCGGCGCGACATATATATATGAGGAATACTCCGAATCAATCCTGCATGCGGAACGCGACGGGCACAACTTCGGGACTTCTAAGTTTTATTAAATCACACGGTTTCCATTTACAAGTAATGAAAAGCAATTTAATTTCCTTTTGATGAAGGGGACTCGGTGAAAAAGCGATCGCATTTATTTTATCACGGTATACCGGCGCGCGTCGAGGGTTTAACGGGGCGCGCTCGTGTTAAATGCAATTTCGGTGAAAAATGGATCAAGTGCACGTTGTGGATCTGTATAACTTTTGCCGTTATATAGCAAGTGGCGGCTTGATATTGATATTGATATTGATATTGATGTTTGGCACCTGCACGTGACACTGAAATTCACGTTTCATTTATTAATAAAGAATCTCAATCGCCGAAATGAGTCCTCGGAGAATTCAGTGGATTGTATATACTGATGCGCTCTTTAAAACAGTACTGCGACTTTGACACGCAGTCTCGAATCGCGAGAAATTGTTCTTTTTTTTCCGTGGAACTCTCTTACACGTTTTACACTAGGAATTATCCTTCGCTGGGAAAAAGTTGTTCGCAACGAGATTTAGACCAGCTCACGCGTTTGCATTTGTTTTTTTTTTTTATGGAAAACGTTTTTATCATCAGCTCAAATTGGTATGGATACAGCAAACGTGCAGATTGTCTTAATCGGTTTAGCTATTTGATCGTTACAGCTGACACGTACACCTGCACACGCGACCTTTTACATTTTTTGCCAAACGCGATGATCCGAGAGGATCCCCTTTTTTTTTCCCGAGGCAGTTTCAGAGGTAGCGTAAGCTCGTTACACTTTCCAACGGCGGGCGCGCGGAGAGATCATTCCCTTCGTTCGCGTTTAAAAACGAACGAAGGAAATAAATACGTCTCTTCCTCCTATGAAGCGGCAAAGTAACGTGATCTTTCGTTTAACGAGCATTGCGCTATCTCGTCTCGGCCGCGGCATCAATGGGATCGCGTGGGTAATACGATTAAATCATTCCGGCCAAAGGGTTTCCGGGAGAGGGAAGGGGGAGAGATCGTTAAGGGAACAAAATAATCGGGACGTGTGGAAGAGGAGCGACCGCGCAACACGACACGCGTATTGGAGCGGAAGGAATCGCGGGACGGCTGGAGAGATTCTCGTTTCCCGCGGGCGGCGATGTGGGTTATCGCGGTTTATAGACGTAATTAATAATCCGATGCTATTTTTATACGCAGAGAGACCGTTGCGAACTAAATGGCAGCCGCGAGTTAGTCCCGGTTGAAAGAAAATCGATATAGGGTCGTAATGCGGCGACGGCGGCGGCGGTGGCGTTACGCGTAAAAGCGGCGCGGGCTTAAGTAGACAGCGGCGTTGAAAATGAGGTGTCCGTTTACTTTCTTCCGCGGAAGGAGCGGCGGAAAGTCGAAAGGCGAGAGTTAAGCTGACCGACCGGGAAGCTCTGCTCGGCTGAACTTACTTTTAATAACGAAAGTCAAATACAAAACTAACCCGCGGATGGAGTAGGATGCCACGCCGGACGCGGTATACGTACCGATTGACTTTCCAACAAAAGTCGCGTCGAACCAACCCCTCTGTCGAGAGGGACAAAACAACGCAATAAAATAGAAACAAAGCCGTTGTGTGTCAGAAATGAAAGAGACTCGAAGCGACCGTTATATTGCGACCATTCTTTTAATTTTGAGCTGCAGAGATTGTGTTTGAATTTAATACTCCAATTACTCGTTTCCTTATACCCCATTCACCGTCGTATTTTACATATACAGATACTCTCCTTTCACGTCCCTCCTTGTTTGCCTTTCTTTCGGATCTTTGCACGTTAATGCAGTCACCCCGCTGTCTATACTCGCTTAGAAATACTACCCGATGTTGCCGGTAGACTTGCCCCGGCGACGGGGGGAGGACGAAGCCGGAGGGAAGGGAGGGAGGAGGCGGTGTGAGGGCACGTTTTGCAGATGAAATACAGTGCCGCGCGATAAATGGGTGCTGACACGATGCTTCACTGCAGAGACGTGCCCTTTTACTGTGAACCTAGCTTTATTCTCGCCGTGCTTTAAGCGACTCTGGTATAGGTCATGTTGCCTCGGAAGTCGCTTTTGTTTGCACCTTGACACCCGACCGGTTGTCAACGTCAGTAACCATTTTCCATTCTTTAAGAAATCGATAAGAACTATAAGTTCACCCTTAACATTCGCCGTTATATAAGCTATAATTCACGCTACGGCGAGTCAGTCGTTCACTCGCGACGATGCCAGGTGGAACTTGAACTGCCATAACTGTCGAAGACGGCCTTGTAATTTCAATGACAACGATCGGAGAATTACCGGACACGCGCGAGATACTTAGGACGCGTAGAGCCTATCCGCCAATTGGACATCCAGTCGTAAGCTGAAGTGCTCGAAACGACGGACGGCGAGGAGCTGTATAGAGACGTTAACATCGCACAGGGTCTCGACTCAGGATCGTCTCGATTCGTGATTCTCGGCTGCTCGATCCGTCCTAAGAAGGTGCGTAATAGCCTTAATTTATTATTTGTATCTCGAGTGTCGTGGCCGTGCTGCGTTATTTCGCAGGTCGAAGAAATTTTAATATTTTATAGACCGTGTATGACCGCCGTTTACACTCGACGGAATGGCATGGTACAAGTCAGTGAAAATAAAAAGTTCGACATTCCGTTGGAACAGCATAAAATGTTTGGACTGTTTACTTTATAGAATCGTAAAAATGCTATCGTGGCCAAGTGATTGAATTTCATGCCGGATACCTTCGCAAGCATTTCCGTTTCCCGAAATGAGGGAAATTATTTATACTGCTGGTTTGCCAAGGGCAAAAATCTCAAGATTTATTACCAGCTTTAGAAATTTAAATCAGCTGGTTTTATCGATATCTTTATTTTTATTGTCATTTTTCAATACGGTTTTAAAATGGCAACTGTTTACGTTTCTTGAATATTCGTAAATTGAATAAAATAAGAAACTAATATGGGTTAATTTTATTTTTACATATACAATTTAATTCAGTGTATTTTGTTATTCTTTTTGTAGGGGTATTATTGTATATGCATACTGCCAGCCAAAAGTTTGAGATTATATATAAACTTTAAGAGTATTTCAATGAAATACTATATACGTAAAAGTTCGATTTATACCTTACTTAATATTTTTTTCTTAATTCAAAAGTAAATAAGCACTATATTTAGCACAGTTGTGACATTTTCAAAAAAATATGGACACTACGATCATAAAGTCTTTTTTTCTAAAATTGAGATTTAAACTATTTTAGAAGATAAATAAAAAAAAATAAATTTGTAGCTAGATTACCTGAATTAGTAAATAGAGTGATTAAATATAAGGGTAACTAATTTAACAAAAAAAATCTAATATTTTGTTAATAAAAATACTCATGGATATTCGTATAGATACTCGTAAAAAATGTAATAAAATAGGCTGTCAGACATTTTATACTATTTTTTATTTTATTATAAAATAATGAATAAAATAATCAAAATAAATTAAATTAATGCACAAGTTTAATTTTACTTCATGTAGTAAACATTTTCAATTAGTGATCTCTCAAATTTTTGGCCGGCAGTGTATAAAGGGTATATTTCATATTAATATCAAGTACAACAATTATTACTAAAACATATCGAACACTACAGAACATTTGAAATATATTACAGCAAATTTGAATGTCTCCGCTGGATTCTGTAGAGATTCTGTATTATTCATTAGATCAATTGAATGTTAATTCTATTCGGACGTAATTGCGTCCATTCATATTGATCTGCGAAGGTATATGGACTAGCGGTTTCACCAGCTATGTCTGCACATATAATTCTGCCTAATTAACCCATGTGAGCGAGCGTATCGGTCAACTAGAGCTTCAAAGGCGCTTTTTTTTTTAACGACTTATACATTTTTTAGTATCATAGATCTACGGCCAGCACGTGTGACACGTTTCTATAATAAAGCAGAAACGTCACGCGTAAAAAAAGAGCTTCATGCCGAGGTAAATGCGAAATGAAGCAGATAGGCTGAAGAGGTGCGAACCGCGGGAATGCTTCTCGCGTCCTCGTGACAGAATCGGGCTCGAAAACACGAGTTATAAT